GAATAAATATAATATTTAGGTAATTTAATGAAAAATATGCAATCAATGAGTTTTTCATTCTAACAAAGTCAATTATTGAAACACCGACGATTTAACTCAGTAGAATCATCCAACGTCTTACCACGACTAACCTTTACACAAAAAAGGGTCTTATGTACACTTGGTTTCTATGTAAAAAGGGATCATTTTCCCTTGTAAGGTAGACAAAGAAAATATCATTGGTAAAGTTTTCCTTGCGGCACACGTTAAAGGCCACGTTATCCAGGCAGCGACCTCGACAGACAATTATGCAAAGTGCTTGCCCTACCAATACTGAGACAAAGGCATCTATTTACCGAGCCTCATGCACGCATTAAGTTTAAATCTGAAACTAGCAATGCTACTATCTTGTTAGATTACAAAGATAAAAAATATGAGTTCTTGATAATCTCGCTTCGTTTTCGTCAACTGTAAGTTCGAGTGACAAGTATTGCGTTTGCGATACGGTTCAAAGTTAAATGCGAGAAACATATTCTTTCAAGGAATCATTTCATCATCAGCCTATAAGTGCCCATTGCTGAGCAAAGGCCTCTTCTCATACGAAGAAGGTTAGAGCATTAATCACCACGCTTGCTCAATGCGGGTTGGCGATTTGAAACTTATAATTAGAAATTATAAGTCCAGGTTTCCTTACGATGTTTACCTTCACCGTATGTCAGTAGTGTCTAAATAATTATAGAAAGTACATGTAACTTGGAAAAAGTCACATAGGTACTTGCCAGGTGGGCACCTCATGCATGAGAAGCGGGTTCCTTAACCTCCGGGCCGGACATTTAAATCTACCTAATATGAGCAAGGTAAAGATGTGTTAAAATATCCCACGAGTTGCGATTACTGCAAGATTGATTTGAAGGTCAGTTTTGCAAACGATTTTTAAAAAAGTTGCCGGATCCGTGAGTGATTTAATCATTTGAAAATACTGTTTGAATTCTCGTACTCACTCTACATTTATGACTATTAGGTACGCAGAAAATTCTTGTCTCAAAAGAAAGTGATTTTCTGAATGAATTGAAAAATAAATGTTATATTGAGAAAACAAAAACACTTCGCTAGTAATATTTAATTTATTTTAAGGTAAATGTTGGTTTTTCGTGTCAAAATGTTATCAAAATTTTAATGTACAAAGGAAACTGTTGAAAATAATAGTTTAAGTAATATTTTACCAGTCATAACTTTTCGAGTAATAACGGCCCTTCTTTTAATTAAACATTTCAAATAATACTTTGTCGTCAAAAAAATGTTAATCCCTCTTTCATGTAAATTAGAAAATTTTAAACTAGTTAAGCCAAATCGTTTTTGTTTTAAGCCGTTTAGTTAAAATCTTATTATCCTTAATTATTTTTACGTTAAATTCTTAACAAGCATTTAACATTTTCGGCCAAATTGGTGTTTTAGTTACGTAAAGAAAAAAACACGCTAAAAATTTAATTGAAAAATACATTTTCTGGAAAATTAAGGTTACACTAAAATGGGTGAACACAAGTTACGTTACTTGTGCTACAAATGTTTGAGAGAAAAATACTAGAAAACGGGTATACAGGTATTAATAAATTAGTGCTATGTTAGAGGAACATTCCTTTCCAATACAAAAAGGACGAAACTTCTTAACGCAATCGAGAAATCATAAACCTTAAGAACACACACTATATTTCCATCGTTATGTGGACTTCGATAATTTTTTTAATTTAATAAAGTTTTATTTTTATTTTGTATCTAAAGGTGGTCATTGTATATATTGTGTTAGCTTGTTCTTTACGAATTTTTATAATGTAGGTATGTAATAAAGTATAGATTTTCATAAATGGACTAGATTTGCCCGCGACTTCGTTCGCATGGTTGTCGCAATTATCTTTCGATTTCGCGTGACATCTTCGTCAATATCAGTTTTAATGATTAAAACTGATAAAGTGCTTTTTTGTATACTTATATTTAAAGTTTTGAAAATCTTTGAAATCGGCACTGTAGTTTCTGTGATTAGCGCATTTAAACAAACAAACTTTAACTTAATAACATTAGTAGGTATAGATTAGTGATCGAATTTACTAAACTTTTTACACACAAACTTATCATGCCACCACTACTCTTTCAACAACAACCCTAATAAATACACACGACCACATACGTGTGATGTAGCGTATGTGTGTGCATGTGTGGGCCAATGAGGGACCTTCGATCCAGCGTCCCGTTTTTATCATTGTCGGAATGATGAATTAGACTCATTTGTTAGGACAGCCGCCGCCTAGATTTTAAGGTACTATACGTTTGTAGGCAGGTCGGAGGTATTTTGTAGGTATTCCAGTGACTGGTTTTCTAATGTATTGCAAAAAAGTGTAATGGTTTAATGGGTGTGCGTCGAAGATATTGTAATAAGAGTTTTCTTAAATTAAAATTGTAATTTATTTTAAAGAAGTTGGTTATTATTTTCTAGAGAATTTAGTTTAAAGAAACGATATTTTTTTTTTTTATAAACCCTGTATTTAATTTTAGAGTAATTGTAATTTAATTTTAGGATATTGTAGTTTAGTCATAAAATCGAATAAGTAATATGTAGATTATGGCCTTTCAATTCTATTGGATGCATTTTAAATGTAGGTACGTAGAGTGTCAGGGCCAATGACTGAAGGTAGGGTCGTACAACAATGGATCTCAAAACATGTATAAAATGGGCGTGACTGTATAAGAGTCAACTTTTTATAAACCCGTGGGGTCATACGATTAAAAAAACATTTGAATTGTTTTTTTTCTAGGTTTTCACTAGAAATATCGCCATTAAATTGTTCGAACCAAACCAAGTGTAGAAGCCAATAATTTCTATACGATTCTCGACGATTTATTGCAACCCATTTCTAAGGGGATGAGAACTGATTCTGAATAGTTTGAGATATTCACTCGATTTATCGTCTTAGGAACCGAATTTTACTCGTTATTGTCACCTCGCTAACGGTGTTTGGTAAAGGGATATGGACTGTAGGTCATTTAGAATAGAGTTTAGGTTTGTCTGTTGTGAAAATGATGTATGATGTGAATAAAGCCCATTATCCATTGATATTTTTTGTGGTCTAATGGTTTATGACGTCAGGTGGTGTCGTTTTGGGATTCATTGATTTGTATGGAAGGTTTATTATGAGTTTTCAGCATTGTTTTAGGGAAAATAATTATACGTTACAAATTTTCAACTGACATTAAAATGACGAATGTAAATTTAGGTAATTTTCACATTTTTTAAGGGATAGTGCGAATCGATGACGTCGTGGTAAACAGTCGTCACCGATTTAGACCGATAGATGCTTGTGACCCCAGAGAAGTTGCAAGAGCGTTGCCCGCCTTTGGGAGGGGGGGGGGGATTAGGGATTTGAGAATTGTGGAAACTGGGGATAGGGCTCTGGTTCTCTAGTAAACTTATCACATGGCGTATCATAACGTTAGTGTTCCTGTGGCATCACTCTGGTCTAGGCGATCGAAAAATGAATTTCCTACACTTAAAATAACTGAATTAATAAGGTAACTTTTGTGACTATATGCTAAGATTTTGCATTTGGATTAATTGAACACCAAATACATGTTTAAAAACATTGATAGAACAACCATAAAATTTTTAAAGGCTATTAGACCAATTTGAATAAAATCTTAACCCGATTACCGATCCACCTGTTACCCAATAATATAAAAAGAATATAATCTATTATATAGTTAGTATATATTAGCAATGTTAATAGGAATTTTTGACAGGGTAGTCAGATCACGTCTCACATCAAAGGGAGCCTCCAACCTTCAGTTCAGAACAGCCTTCAAAACCGACTTAATTTTATTTAATACAAAATAAGATGCTTAAAGAAAATTATATTTTACTTTGTTGTAGCGATGACAACGACTTCTGTAGGTAAGGAGATGCTTTAGCGAATTTTGTGTGTTATGACATGTATTTGAAGATCAATAATTGCTAGTACTTGGACCACCGGCGGAGAATTAAACAGATTTTTTTCTGAATATGTTTTCTCGGATTCTTATTCCAAGTACATGTCAGTCCCATCTTACCTTGTAATCTACCTAAACCTATTAAATTGACTTATAAAAACGTAATTTAACTATTCTAAATAAATCAAGAACGGTTATAGAATTAGGTTTAGACAATACATTATTAAAATATCTACATCAAATTTATTTAACTGGCGCTTAGCATAAAAATCTTCTGTAACAGACTGAAATTTGTCACATTCTGGCAACAGATGAACAACCCGAAAATGTTTGTAGTCGAAAACTTTACGTACGAAATTGTTAGAGCAGTTTCCAAGATCCTATGAACATTTTTTTTTGGCAATGGGCAGGTGTTTTTCTCTTACCTCGCATGGTGGTTACGATAATGCGACCAACAATGGAGCACGCCAACCTAATAACCCAGGACTTGAAGACAGTCACCCCTTCGGGGACACAGACTTCGGCAAAGAATTCCATAAGAATGGATGCAAGAATTGATTGTTACAAGGTTATTCATACCTCACGGTGATGTGTTGTTTGTGCCGACCAGGGCATGGTAAAGGGCCGATAATGGTGGAGTAAGCCTGCAGCTATTTCTTGAAGAACATAGTTTTATTTGTTTGTCAATGCTATTGGCCATAGCTCCAGATACTACTATAAAGACTTATGAGAATTTCTTTTACCCGACATATCGAAACTGACAACTTTAATAAGAATCAAAGTAAGTTGTCGTCGACATAAACAAAATTGTATTTTAACCTTGTTAATTTTCTTAATGGCTCTCTCTTACTTATGTAATAGGTCGGCAAACGAGCAGACGGATTACCTGATGGTAAGCAATCAGCGCCGCCCATGGACACACGCAACGGAGGAGTTACGAGTCCGTTGCCGGCATTTTAGGGATAAAGGGGATTAGGGGAAAGGGGAGTATAGGGCCTCCGGTAACCTCACTCACTCAGCGAAACACAACGCTGTGGTTGTTTCACGCCGGTTGTCTGTGAGGCCGTGGTATCACTCCGGTCGAGCTGATCCATTCTTGCCGAAGCATGGCTCTCCTACATAAAACTGTGTTATAAGACTGTGTTAACAGATATTTAAATCTCTGGCCATACATCAGATACAAACAGAGAACCAGTGCAACTATTACGTAACTTATAAACAGAAAATGAAGTACATATACCAATCTTAGTAGCAATAATTGTTCTAGAACGCTCTACTAATATTGACCTAACAGAAAGGTCTTGACAACAATAATGGAAAAATTCTCAGTAGGTAAACAAAACGGTACGATTGCAAGAAACGTTTCTTAATTAAAAGAAGAAAATTAAAGTCAAGAGCGAAATGCATCGACTACGGATACTTTTAAGGAGAAATCAAATAAACTAAGCACCTTTATACGGGAAATTGAGCTATACATCTGATATTAATAGGGCTCTCAAGATCAGTACAGTTGATGTAATTAAGGGTCAATTTATTTTGGAGAATTATAGAATGAGTTGTTGTTAGCGTATTGTATATCGTAGTAGCCTAAGTAGCCTAAGGAGTTCCTTTTTCGAGAAGACTGATTCGTGAATGTAGTTGTTAGAATCTGGCTAAAATCTAAATATGACATTACTAACTTTGAGTAAGCGTGTTGATCCATAATTACATCTTTGTCGTAGGAGAAAATAGGTATTTGCCTAGCAATAGGATAGTTGTTATCCTACTAATATTACAAATGTAAAAGTTTGTGAGAATGTATGGATAGATGTATGTTTGTTATTTTTTTAAACAAAAACTACTGGACCGATTTGGTTGAAACTTGGTATGTAGATAGCTGATGCCCTGGATAGCGGATGAAGCATAACGTAAGCCATAAAGCAGCAACGTTTAAACATACTTAAATGAAATGAATAGAACAAAAATCAGCATTTTACTACAGGCAAGTGGGGCAAAATCCCGGGTCAACAATAGACAATGTGGAAATGCAAATTAGCTCGCTTTGCTTCCGAACTTTGCCGAATGATCCCGAACACAGCCGAGCGCTGTTAGTTGTCATGTAAATTGGGATATGTAATTATGGGAAGCGTAGGACAGAGACGTCGTGATCGCGCTTAGGAACTGATTTCAAGTTTGGTGTCAATGTCATTTGAGTTTGATACGGGGATTAGTGTAGGGGTATGAAACCTAGATGGCGTTACGTCTATGTTAGACGTGATTGTTGAACGTTTTTTATTGGGAGGATGGTATTGAGTGCTTTTCGTTCTGGAGACTGGGGCAAGGGTAAAAAATATTTTTTTTAAATTATACGTTGATTGACCAAAACCTTTTTTGTTACAACCTCCGTATTTAGTATGACCGTATTCGTAAAATATCTAATTGCTGAACTCGGACACATTCAAAGATTACTATAACTTTTTTTTAGTAACTATTGTGTACAGTCAACTATTTATTTACTTAAATGATTTTAAGTACGGTTGCTTTTAAATGCGTTGCTAATAAAAATAACTGTTTAAGTTTGGAATTGCATTCTCAATATAAGAACAGTTTTATTTTATTATTAGTTTGGTCGTTATATCACCTGGTGGTAGGCAGTGATGCGATCAATTGAGCACACCTATCCAGCCCAGATCATACCTTCGAGGAACACAAACAGCTGACAAAGGATTGCAGGGCTTAGCGGTTCTGATGATTACACTAGAGAAGAAACTCTTTTTACTAAACTACGACATTTTTGTAAATTGCCAAAGACAGTTTAAATCCTGATTTTTCTCGTTTGAACAAACACTTGGGTTACAGCAAAAGTTAACGCGATACAAAAGTATCGACGCGTTCAACTGATAACTGCGACCTTAACTTGTTAAAACAGTTGTAAGTTAACCTTAACCAATAGTTGGTGGTTAAGTTACCGCCGTTAGTTAGTTTAGAATCCAAAGCGTTACTTGCAGTGCTATCTTGCTTAACTGTAGAGAATAACTTTTGCAATTTTCAGTTCCCCAGGTATATTAGAAAGTATATCTAATGTCTTCTATATAAAAATCTAACTCGACCATCGCATCAAGAAAATAGAGCAGTTTCGCCGGTTCTTTCTTGTTGTGTCTGTTATTGTTAGGAGGTTCTTTTGCTGGTGTTAGCCATTCCCCCCCCTTCTCCCAAGGCTCTAATCTGAAGCAGAGGAAGGAATACAGTGATTTTAGCTAGTAAGATTCTGACACTATCTGACGAACTACCCAGGATGAAAGTCAGCCGGGGTTGCGGGGTAAGCGCAATGAGGCACCGCGACCTCGGCACAGAGCAGGAGAAGGAACAGGGGGTTTTTAGTCAGTAAGAGTCTGACACTGACACCCACCCGGCCCTGGGCCGGAGAAGTCATTTGATGATTTTCCTCTCACAAAAAAAAATCTAGGATGGAAGGATGATGGATTGTACGGATTTGAGGACTTAAGATTTTTTTAATTAAATATTTGACGTAAATTAAGTTAGTAGGTACCCATTAGTACGTAATACAATATTAATATGTTATGAGACGTCATTGATTATGTTGCGTTTATTTTATTTGTATTATTAACCAACCGTCTAACAGGTGCGGGTCGCTAGCTGAACAATAAAAGTAAAAAAAAAACATCTTTAACTCCCCCAAAAAGGGTTGCCATGCACAATAAACATTCTCTTTTTAGAAAATTTTCTGGTTGCTCTCGCAATAAATTTTATTATAGGGAATGATAAAATCTGGACAAGTTAAGCATCGCTTAAATTATTAAGCCCTTTAAACTTGCGATAAAACTCTCGTAAATCTTCGGTTAGACTCGGCTATCTTCGGTGATAAAGCGGTGCTCTAGTCGTGGACGGAACCACGACTCCATTGGGATTTCGTATGCGGCACTTATAACTGGTCCATCAAGCTAGTTATTTAAAATCTTGTTAGTGACTTTAGGCTGTTGGTCTTTTTGTTTTGGGGAAATCTAGTACGATTGAGGCTTAGATTTTGTTACTCCTGATTTGTTATAGTATTTATTGAAAGAAAATAAGTAATAGAATGAAATGTATTACGTATCTGGTGTTTGGGCCATAAGCTCGCTCCTTGCTGTGGATGGTGTGAATCATCTTGCTTTTCAGGTGGGATTTAATGACTTCTATCGCTCTGATTGGGGCGAGGAAGTGTCAGAGCCTTACTGACTAAAAACCACATCGTGCTGTCCCCTGCTCCAAAAAGAATCCAAGATACATTATAGAGCTTGCCCTGCAACCCTAGCTGAAACCAATCATCTAACTTGCGAGAACTATTTGGATTACCGTTGCCAACGTTTGATATTGCAGTTCAATATCCACTAAGTGTCGTGGTAGCCCGAAGGTTAAGGAGCCAGCTTCTCATGCATGAGGGTGTGTGTTCGAAACCTGGCAAGTACCAATGTGACTTTTTCCGAGTTATATGTACTTTCTATGATTATTTAGACACCACTGACATACGGTGAAGGCAAACATCGTGAGGAAACTTGGAGTTATAATTTCTAATTATAAGTTTGAAATCGCCAACCCGCATTGAGCAAGCGTGGTGATTAATGCTCTAACCTTTTCCGTATGAGAAGAGGCCTTTGCTCAGCAGTGGGCACTTATAGGCTGGTGATGATGGATGATCCACTAAGTTATATTTTTATAATAAGTATCGTGAGACATACTAAATTAACTAAAAATCGCGGGTTACTCACGTGTATAGATTGAGAAGACGCTACTGGTTTACGCTAACCAGTAGGCTGCGCGACATAGCCTCGTCCGCGCACGCTGCTCAAAGAAGAACTCCTCTGTGGTTCGAAGCTAGTACAGTTTTGCTCAATATGTACACGTGATTTTTAGTTAACTAAGTTATGACCAAAAAACCATTGTAACTTCTATAAACCTCAAATGAAGAAGTAAACAAAACTGTTTATCGATATAAAATACGAATAAAATTCAAAAGCAACCAATCGATAAATCATACCTAGTTTACAAGTATTGCAGAATAAAGTTACAGCCAGTCCTGTACTATAAATTTTAGCCATGACCAATACTTGGCTCTCGGATAACTTTTGACTTCAACTGAGTATAAACGATGAGTTTAGATGTAGTACAAGTTTCGAATAAATAAGTATTCGAAAGTAAATAATAGGAGAAAAATAAATAAACCTGGTATTATTATTTCTGTACCTACTTGAACTGTGAAGAAGACTGTTTCCTTAAGGGTTCGTAAACCTGGATGTCTTTCAGGCCTAAGTCACTTCTCCTACCTTTGGGTCGAATGAAAGGACCCCCTTTCTTTAGGAGACCGTACCAGGCCCTTATTGACTAAACCACATCCCGTTTTTTCTTCTGCACCGAGCTGGGGTCGCGGTACACGATGTGGCCCGACTAAGCCCTTTAGGCTGTCTGCCTCAAAGAACCTTCAGGCTATCTGTCTAAAGGTTCTTTGAGGATTTCTGGTTGGATGGCAAGCTAACCCACGTTTATGGTGGCCTGGTCCGTGTTCTCTGACGCCCGGAGTGTCTTCTGCGGCGACTGGGGTATAAAACGGGTTTTCAAAGCCCAAATGAAAAGGATGTTTACTAGAAGGCGTTCGCCGTAGAAGGTCATATTTTCGTCTAGCACCAGGCGAAGAAGCGACTACATTGTTTTCAATTATATCAGACCGATATTGAACCATAGTGTAAGGATTGTATTGAGTAAAACACTTGACTGCTGATTAAATACTGACTCTTATTAATAAGGATTGATATTTAAATACACGAGTAAGATACGTTAATATATGCGAATTTATGGATAAGCTGCTGCTTCTTCAGTCCACGAATCCCTAGTGAATGAGGTAATTGGATAAATACAATAAGTAGTAAGGATTGGACACAATAATTGGTGTGATGATCGATACAGTTATGGCTCATTACATCATATTATTCTTCTATATGCGATTAAGCGATTATGTTTATTTTCATAGAAAATTAGCTTGGTTTATCTTTCCATTGATTGTAATCATAGATAAGTATATCAATAATATAAGAAATAATGACACAGTATCTATTATGTTCCA